CATGTCTTGAAGCTTATGTCTTTCTGCTGGTTCATTTTTCTTAATTACTTTATGTCTTAGTTGTTATCTATTGGTTATGCAAGCTTTACAAAACACTCCTTTCTAACTATAGTACAGTGCTTTTTCAAACCTGGAAACTTTCAGATGTGTGATCTCAACTCCCCAAATTCCTTAACCAGCATCTGTCCAGTGGCATCTCAATTAGATGCAAAATTAAGTAATTGTCAAAAAATATTTAGCAAATGAATTTGGATACCTAGGCCAGAAGTAGAATGTATGTTTGTGAGAACACATTCTCACACATTTCCTTGCTTGCTGTGTGTGTGAGAGAAAGAGAGAGCGATGTATATTCTAATATCCTCTGCATTAGAAATATCTATTTATTTTGTGTTGTGTCATTTGATTATTTGCTGCATAGAATCAAAGCAGTCATAAAACACAGCATGAGTGTCATAGCAACTACTGAACCATCTCTAGTATGCAAAATTAATTGCTAAAAATCACCTTTCCTTTGAAAATGGAGACATCTTTTTTCTTGATGGTTAACTAAGTACCAAGATGAATTCTTTCTCTTTTTCTATTTTGATGATAATAAGCTGACAGTTACAAATACAACCAGGCAGAAGTATTATAACCAGCATCATGTCTTCCTTATCATTTTAGGTAATAATATTTGTGGCTGTTGTTTTTCTGAGTATCCTTGCCTCACTGCATTTCCAGAGTTCATATGAAGAAATCTTCTAAATTTAAGAAGTTGCTGAGAAATTAGTATCTCCATGGTAGTCTTTGCACTTTCTCATAATGAATTGGTTTGCTCAACTTCAGCTTTTGTTGAGACAAAGCTTTCATATGGAGAACATTCCTTCAATATGAGGATTCAACTCCTGTTGAATATATTTGCTCAAAAAGAGCTCAAGAGGGAACTAGTAAATTCCTCTCATTTCATAATCTGCCGGCCAGAGAGACTTCTCAACATAGCCTGAATAGTATTTTTTGTGGATGACAAAGCTCAAACTTGATATTTATCTCAAGAGAAGAGCTTCTTTCCTGTATTCCCAGAACATTAAAGATCTTCCATAAATCCTGCCGAGCTTATATTTTGTATCAACAGTTGAATCAAACATTCTTGTTTTCATTTAATTGGAGGCCTAAAAGTGTTCCCCTCCCCTCTCCTACTTATAACACTTCTGCCTGGCTACATCTGTAGCTGTCAGCTTGTAAATTGTATAAATATAAAAAGAGAAAGACTTCATCTTGGTACTTAGCTAACCATCAATAAAAAGATTTTCAAAAATCCATTTTCGAAGGAAAGGTGATTTTAAACTGATAATGCTGGCATTATTTTATTGTTAACAATAAAAATGTATTCACCATGTCCAATGTTTTAATATGTGTTTAATAAAAAAAAAATTCAAAAAAAGAGAGAGGAAATAATAAAGCAGCAAACGTAGCTACAGCCAAGAAGATCAGCAGGTTCTATAGGCAGAATCTCTAACTATAAATGTTTCTAGCAATTCATTAACAATCCATTGGTCACAAGAAGGCATTTGATTCTCTGCCAAGTGAATGGATAATAAAGTGCCTAGAAATAACAAGAGTCAGTAGAAATATCAGAAGTTTGTGCAAACATCAAAGGCACAATGGAAGACACAGTTGCTGATCAATGGTCATAGATTGGAAGATGTTAATATCAAGATAGGAATCTTTCAAGTAGATTCACTATCACTACTACTGTTTTTCCTTGTGCTGATTGCTCTGTCAACAATACTGAACCAGTCAGGTTATGGCTTTTAAACTTCAAAAACATCTGACAAGCTATTAAGCCTCATTTTCAGGGGTGAAATGCTCCCAGTTCAGACCGGATCACCTGATCCGGTAGCGATGGCGGTGGGTGGTTCGGAGAACCGGTAGCAAAAATCTCTGCCCCCCACCCCCACCATGCCCAGCTGAGCCACACGATCATCAGAGGCTTTTTTTTTTTACTTTTAAAAGCATTTTTTCTACAACCTCTTGGCCGAAGAGGTGGTAAAAAAAAATGCTTTGAAAAGTCTCTGGCAACTCCCAGCTGAGTTGCCTGATTGGCAGAGAGGTATTTTTTAAAATGCCTCTCTGATGATCCCAGCTGAGTTGCCTGATTGGCAGAGGCTTTTCAAAACATTAGAAAAAATGCTTTGAAAAGTTAAAAAAAAAAAGTTGGCCACGCCCACCCAGTCACATTAACACCCCCACCTCCACCAAGCCACGCCCACAGAACCAGTAGTAACAAATTTTACATTTCACCCCTGCTCATTTTCATGGATGATCTGAAGCTGCATGGAAAAACGCCATCTGAAATGGAATTGTTGCTCAACATTATCCTTTTAAATAGCCAATAGCCATGACAATGAATCAAGCCCTTCATCCACACAAGGCCTTGACAGGCTCTACCTACCAAGGAAAATGGGTGAGCGTAGAATGTTGCAAGTACATCAGATGGTTGAAGAAGAAATAAGGGCTTTGGAAGAATATCTGAAAGACAGACGATGCAGTGAAGCTAGTATACCAGAAAGGCATAATGAGTACTGAAGTTACCAAACTGGCCGACAAGAAAGATCAGATGAAGAAGAGAAAGGAGGCATGGGAAGACAAAGCATTACACATCCAGGGCATTACATAATAACAGAGAAAGCAGATAATAACAGGACTTGGCAATGACTAAGAGCAGGAAATTTGAAGAAAGAGTCAGAGGTGTTAATTCTAGTTGCACGAGACTAAGCCTTAAGAACAATGCATGTAAAGCCAGAGTTGAGAAGACAGCAACAGGCAGTAAGTGCCACCTATGCAAACAAGCTGAAGAAACAATGAATCACCTGGTCCTGCTGCAAGAAGATCATACACACTGAATACAAGCAATAGCATGACAAAATAGCAACAATGGTGCATTGGAAGATCTGCAAGAAATATAATTTGCCTGCAAACAAGAACTGGTGGGACCATAAAATAGAGAAAGTCATAGAAAATGAAGAAACTAAATTGTTCTGGAACTTTAGAATTCAAACAGACAGGTGCCTGCCACATAACATCCCAGACTTAAGAATTGTCTATAAGAAAGACAAGGCAGTACCTGGAAATAGCAGAATAGATGAGAAAGAACTGGAGAAGATAACAAAATAAAAAAATCTACTATGGCAAAAGCAAGCAAAGGTAGTACCAATAGTAATAGGTGCCTTGTGTGCAATCCCAAAACAACTGCAACACCGCTTGAACACCATCAGCATTGACAAACTCACCATGAGTTAAATGCAAAAGATGGCTTTACTCTGAACAGCTTACATCTGCAACTATACCTTTAACATAATCAAATAGTACCTGCCTATCCCAGGTCCTTGGAAGGAACTTGATGGGTGGATAAAAATGCCAAATGCGGTCTAAATGTGTGGCTGACTGTGCAGCAAATGAGAATAAGAATACATTTGTTTAAAAATAATATATAAAGTTATGCTGTGGAAGAAAGTTGATGGATGCCAAGAGATTGTGCTGCGGCTTGTGCTGGTACTTCTGGATTCCGCATTTTGGGATTCTATACCCTAGGCCTGGAGTTATTGAACTTTTTCAGGCAAAACGGGTTTTGCGGAGCCTATTTGTGGAGTCTTTGGTGCTCTCTGAGCTTAGTGCTATTGTTGCAGACATTTCATTACCAAACTAAGAAACATAAGCAGTGTACTGATGATACTGTATTACCTAGTTTGGTAATGAAATGTCTGCAACAAGAGCACTAAGCTCAGAGAGCACCAAGTACCCCACAGTTGAACCCTGAGCCACAAATATTCTCTTCTATTGGCACCTGTTGTTTGTTTGTTTGTAAAAAAAACCTTCTAAATCCCTAATCAAGAGATAAAACTCAAATGATAGAAATTTCAATTATGTTTGAGTGAAACACATTTGTTTGTTTACTTCTTTCTTAGTTTGTTGTCTCTCATAGAATCCCATAGACTTCCTGTGGATATCTGGATATCACCTTTAAAGCGCTCCATGGCATAGGACCTCGTTATCTTCAAGACCACCTGCTGCTACCGACGGTCTCCCATCGACCTGTGCACTCCCACAGAGAGGGCCTCCTCGGGGTGCCATCAGCCAAACAATGTAGGCTGGTGACCCCCAGGGGGAGGGCCTTCTCTGTGGGGGCACCTACCCTCTGGAATCAGCTGCCCCCAGAGATAAGGAGAATCCAAGATCTCGGTGCCTTCCGCCGTGCGCTTAAAACCTTCTTTTTCCAGCAAGCCGGGCTGGCCTAACACTTTTTAAAATGTTTTTAATTGTCTGTTATTGTTTTTAATCATGGGGCCAAATTTATATATATCTTTTTAATTGTATTTTAATGTTTGTAGTTTATGTTTTTACTTGGCTGTTCACCGCCCTGAGTCCTCAGGGAGAAGGACGGTATACAAATTTAAAATAAATAAATAAAAAAAATAAAATCTGGGGTCTACAGAATATAGTTCGAAAAACTCTGCCCTATCTATGGGGAGTGGGGGGGCAAGGCGAGGGGAGAGAGACTGGGAAAACATTCTCATCTGAGTCCTGGAGAGCTGCTGCCAGTCCCTGCAAACAATACTATAAAGCCAGGAAAGCTCTCTAAATGAGCAGCTATCCTACTTCACAGGGTTGCTGTGGAATAAAATCAGAAGAGGAATGTTCTGTATGCTTCCTAGATCTGTTCCTGTGATTGTGATACTGCTTTGCTTCAATTTCGACAGATACTTTTGATTAAGGAGGAGTTTTCAGCATTTACTTTCTTTGTCTTTCCCCTTCCAGATATAGATTATATGATTCTATCAACAAGTTAGTTGTTACTGTAAGCCCCCCTCGCCTGGAGCCAAGAGTGGAAATATTACTGCATAAAGAAGGAACCATTCTAGGGAATGAATTATGGTTGTGAAGGATGGAAATTCGAGAAGCCCTTGCTGCTCCTAAAACTTTCCACTTCAGATCGGGGAGTTTGCTATCCGTTGGTGGCGCCGCTCCTCTCCATCGTCGCCTCCCCCCGCATTGGTATCCCCTTGACACATCACGCGCAGGTCCCTTCGCGCTAGTTGCTGTCCACAGAAGGAGGTTCTGAAGGAAGGGAATCATGCGGGGCGGGAGGCGAGTATCCTCTCGTCCTTGGCTGCCGCCGCCACCGCCGCCTCCCCGCAAGCTGCGCTGATTTCTCCCTGCTTGGCTGCGGCCGCTGTTTTTGCAGCCATTTTGCACCAGCGGAGCCGGAGGCAGAGAGGGCTGCTGCGGCGGAGCAGAGACATGGGCTAACAGCTGTTGCGGCACAGGAACCAGCACCATGGTGAAGAGGAAAAGCTCAGAAGGCCAGGACCAGGAGAGCGGCCGAGGGGTTCCCTTGCCTATCCAGACCTTCCTGTGGAGGCAAACCAGGTAAGGGAGAATAGGGGGCGCTGCCGGCTAAACCTCGCTGGGATTCAAGGGCTGAGATTCCAGTAAGAATTGCGTGCTCTTCGCCCGCCTGTAGGTTCTTGATTCCAAGAGATCGAAGGCAGGGCAACGAGAAGCTACCTTTTCTTTAAATTATCCGCTCTGCTTTAGAGGGACAGTCATTAGATAGCAGCAGAGATACGGAAACCTCGGACTCTTTGCTGCCCTCTACCGTTGGTCTCTATTTGGGGGCTGAGTTAAGATACAACCATGCTCTCTCCTTTTCCTCAGCTTGCAGCCTGATGTCTCTGCTGGCCAAGTGCCAGCGCTGCATGCCATAAAACCACTTCCTCAGTGACCTCTAATAAGTCAGGGCTGCAGCAGCTGTCAGAAGATGTCGGGCTATCCATCCAAAGAAACATCAGAAAATCCATTTTGCAACTGGAGTCAACTGCCAACATTGCACAAGAAGATGAAATCTGGGAAACTGTATCTGACCCCTAGAAAATCATCTCAAGTCCCATGAATAACTTCCCTCCTTCCATCTTACTCCACAATTGGGTGTGCTTTGAATTGTAGTTTCAGTTACCCATTTTCACAAGGTTTTTTTTTTTTTTAATTTGATTTATATGCCGCCCTTCTCCGGAGACTCAGGGCGGCTTACAATGCGTTAAGCAATTAAGCAGTTAAGGTTGAGAAAAGTCATACAGTAACCATTACTAAAATGGTTCAGCAAAAGAATAAATCATCTTTTTGTATTAGTTTTAACTGTCTGTATACATGCATTGTCTATCTATGAACATCCCTTCTTTCCAGATAAAATTGAACATTAACAACCTATGGAAACTCACCCCCAACTCATTAAAAAACTATATTTACCTATAATAAAACATTAACAATGGCAAGAATGAATTCTAACAGGTAATTCTAACATTTCTTAGGGATGTGATTTTCTAGTCTCTTCTAACTGACATAAATGCAGTTCAATGAAAGATTTATTTGATTCACCTAATATTTATGATAATGATTATGTATGTACAATTTAAAGGATTTCATTGATAAAAGTCACTATATAACAAGCACTTTATCTTTCGAAACAGGATGCTCAGCTCATTCTTGCTGACAATTACTTTAGTAAGATAAGATTAGTTATGGTATATATCATAGAAGATAATGTTGAATTAAAGATATAATGGTTCACCTCTTCCATAATTACAGGCTACACCTTTTAAAACCATGACCTGTGGACTGACCATTTCTTTGTGTCATGATTAGTAGGAATGGGGACACGATGGCATTGTGTTAATGGAGGGTGGACAAGTTCATACTTTTGGTACCATCTAGCTTTATCATTCCTCTCCCTCCATCAGACTTGATTCAGATGTTCATCATGATTTTCCAATATTGGTGGGGTATTAGATTATTTCTTATATGATGAAAAGTAAGTATTACACAAATTAACTCAATTCAGACCATTCTTTTTTTTTTTAAAGGCATATGATAAACATCTTAGATAGACAGCTGGATGAATATTCACTTCCTGCTGCTGACATTTTTGAGGGCTCTTGCAGCCCTGTCCTAATTATTAAAAATGTTAAGTAGCTGCAAAAAAAAACCACAAAATAAATAAGAAAAAGCCAAATGCAGAGCTGGTACTGAGTATCTTGGGGTCCTGACAATGAACAACCTTACCAGTTTGCCTTGACAGTTTTGTGACTGGCCACATTTGTCATGACAACCATTTTGGGAATGGGCAAGCACCACCTTATGCCAACCAGTTTACTTGAGCATGTGTTGTGCATGCTCCACTGTGTCTGCAGGCTAGAAAATCTAGGGCTCTACTGTCCAATCACATCACTTGTTGCAGATCTATTAATGTTACTGGTTCCTGCTCATATATAACCTGGAGGACCCAAGGACTCAAATAATGACTCTTACTGAATAGGATTTTTTTTCCCTTTAGCTGCAATCCCATCCCATATCTATCAGGATATATATCATGTGCAAAAAATGGGATAGGGCAGGGGTGTGCAACTTCCTTGTGGGCACAGAAGAAAAAAAATGCTTTTCACTTTCAAGGGCACAGAGGGATATAATTAGTGATGCAATTATAATTTGGACTGATTATAACATAAATATTTAGCCTTAGGGGGAAGTGGTTAATGGGCCTAAATAGGTATAAATATATTGTGCTGTTCAAGCCCTCTATCAAAAATATTGGCTTTATTTTGGCTGGGTGCCTGAGAATTTTTAAGTGGTAAAATGATGCCTTCCTTAACCCTGTGCTATAGTTAAGCCACCCATTTACCATCTAAGTTTCCCTCTCTGAGATCCTAAACTTTATTCAAAATGTGTGCTGGAGCTTACATATCAGGTTCTGCACTTATGGTGTACATTTGCTTGTTATAAGAATTGTATCTTGGAAAATGTTCTCCATAGCAGCCACATGGAGATACTTGCTAGCTTTATAGCATGGGATTTCAAGACCCCTGGTGGCACAGTGATTAGAATGCAGTACTGCTAGCTAATTCTGCCCGCAGACTGGAGTTCAATCCTGACAGTCTCAAGGTTGACTCAGGCTTCCATCTTCCCAAGGTTGGTAAAATGAGGATCCAGATTATTGGGAGCAATATGCTGACTCTGTAAACCGCTTTGAGAGTGCTGTAAAAAGTGGATGGTATATAAGCCTGAATGTTATTGCTATTGCTATTTTGAAATGACACTATATATTTCTAACAGGTCATCTATCGATTTAAACACACATATACACTTATATAAACTAAACAATTGTGCCAATGAATCAAAATATTTAATAATATACTATACCTAAAATCCTGTTTTAACAACATCTATGTCTTTTTTCAGTGCATTTTTGAGACCCAAATTGGGAAAGCAATATGAAGCTTCTTGTGTGGTATGTGATTTTTGATGTTCTTGATTTACTGATGTGCATGAATTGATTGCTTTTAACATGAAACTCAGGAAGCTATGTTCAACTCAGTGGGTCAAACATACTACTCATTTCACTACTGATAGTTAAATGTTTGATTGAGACAGGCTAGATCCATGGTTTCCCCTTTGAATGGTGTACTTTTTACTAAATGTAAATTTTAAGTTTTTCACAAGTGATACTTTCAGGAAGAATACATATATAATAAACCTGATCAGGTTTGTCCCAAATAAATATATGAGAGACTACATTAGACATATATTGAATGTTATTGACAACACGAATCCAAATAATCAAACAATGGCTAGGATCTTTTTGGAGACAGAAGAAGGTTTTGACAATCTAGAAAAGTCTTTTATGTTTGAAGTTTTGAAAAAGATGAGTTGTGGCACTAACTTTTTAAATAGCTACAAAGCATTTTTAAATGGAAAAAATGCTGACTAAGACATGTAAATTGTAAGAAAAGCCAGGCAAAATCAATACTGGGTTTTTGTTGATTTTTTTTTTAAAACAAAAAATCATATAAACATTTTCCTCTTAAGATTTTGGTGGTCTCTTATATTATTGTTCTTTGAACAATCTAGTAATACAGTTTCTCCATGTTTATTTAGCTTTTGGATATTGCCATATTTAGAATCAAGGTTCCCCCCCCCCAGGGATTTACTAAATTACAATTCATCTAATATAATTTAGCCAAGAACAAAATGTCTGGGAGTAATTTGAAGAATTTAGTTCCTTTGGACAAGAACTCACTGTCCAGTTACTGGGTATAACTCTTATTTCATTTCTATTTCCAAATTTGGAAGCAGAAACATCTGCCATCCACTATAGATTCTTGGGTGTCTTTATCCCAGTGAAATGGGAGACAGTTTCAGGTACTAACTGAAAAAAGTTATGGAGGAGGAGATGTGAAGGCAATGGCTTGCCAATTGACAAGAGAACTAGGGCTGGGGACTAAGGGAAGGAGGACAGAGCAAATCTTCCAATTAAAAAGAAAAATCTCTGAGCAAGAAGCCAGGCTTCCACATCTGATAAAATTTTAACAAGCCAGTGTCCGTAAGGTTTTAAACAAAGATCTCACTAGAGGAAACTTCAACAAGAATTCAGTGAAACTCCTCTGCAATTATAGAAACCTAAGAAGTAGGAGGCAGAGAAAAATGGTATTTATTCCTAGTTGTTAAGATTGACTGGTCTGAGGTATCTGATCAGATCTGCTTCAGAACAGATATTTAACAGGGCTGTGTAGCCTGAAAAATGATGAAGTTAATTCATTAAAATAAGATGATTCTTAAACCAGCCTGCTCTTAAAAAAAGGAGGAGGGGTACTTCAATGAATAGCAGAGGCATGCTATGTTTGGATGAGACATAAAACATGACTGTCTAGTTGTTTTCAAATTGTTGTCCCTTTGAGATAGGCCAAGTCAGGAAACAGACTTCATGAGAAGTAGTAGAATTCTACTTTATTGGTAAACGCTATAATAATAAAACCTTGAAAAACTCAATTGTGTGTTTCCTTTCCTCCTTCTTATACTGAGAGAGTTAAGACAGAACCAGATCATGTTTCTTTCTAATATTCTCACATTTTCTCAGCCTTAAATCATGTTTTGCTAACCACTTCCTTCATTCCCATGGTGATCTCTGCGATTCTCTACAGAAAACTTGCCCAATGCTAGAATGTAGACTTAATTAGATACTTACCCCTCAAAAAAGCATCATTGTGTCAAAGACTTTGAATATGCTCCTTGCTAAAATTTATATCCCATGGAGTACACAGAGATTGATTGATTGATTGATTGGTTGGTTGGTTGGTTGGTTGGTTGGTTGGTTGGTTGGTTGGTTTGTTTGCAATGTTTGTAACCCATCTTAACCTGAATATTCTGGGTGATGTACCAGAAGAAGCAATGAAAAGAATTGAAGGTAGCCCACCTCAAAACAATACCAAGAAGTGAACACAAGACAACCAGAGAATGAAGAACACATAGAATAATAGCTTTATAAAAAGTCAGGTGTGTGTGTGTAGGGGTGCTGCACAAGGGGAAGCAAAGTTCATGATGGTTTTTTGGATGATGAAATTTGGTTATTGTGAATTTTGGTGGCTTGATATTGAACCAATGGGGGATGGTGGTGGGGTTTAAGTCCTCAAATTCTTGAAAATAATTTTTAAATTGAGCCAAAAGATGCCTTTCCTGATGAGGTCAAAACATTACTAGAAATTACCAGCTAGCTACTCAGGAAAATAAGTTATGATCCACAACCAAGATGGCTCCTGATCTAGAGAAGAAGGCAGAATAAAAATTTAGAGCTTGATGAGTACTGTTAGTTTTCAACAAATGCAGAATATTATAGGAGTCGTTTTTCCATATATATTTTTATACTTTTTCTGATTGTTATAGCTTTCTCCTATTTTATCGTCTCATAGTTTGAGTATATATCCTGGTCTCAACTGCTGCTGCACCAGCAGAGAGAAAGTTGCTGCTTATAAACTTTGTCATGGACATGACCATCATATCAAGTGGGGCTTTTTTTTTTTTAGTACAAATGAAACATTTATTGCTTGAGCTACCAGCTGTATATATTAAGCCCCTTCAGGCTTGGTCAGGTTGATCTGCCCTATTTTCCAGGACTGTTCTTGTAATTTTTCCAAGGTCAGAATGACATAACCATAACCAATGAGGATTACATCAGGGATTTTTTTAAAAAAAACTGAATATATCCTGTGTATTTTTGTGATTTGCCCTGCTAAAGTCACTGAAATATGTGATATTGCACTATTTTTAGAATATCCCTTTTCTATTTCTCATATTTGTCACTATAATTATATCATTTAAAGGTCAATTGCACTTCCCCAACAAGACAGAATACTGTTCAGAACTGGGCCAGTTGCAAGGAGAGGGGCAGTAGACCAAGAGCAGTGTAATCAGGACTGCAGTCCTCAGATCGACTTAAACAAAAGATGATTAATCGAAGCTTTAGATAAAGGATTGTGGATGGAACTTTATAAAAATATGAAATAGTCTTGCCTTTGTCTTAGAAAAATTGTAGTTAGCTAAATCATCAATTGTTTTTCTGTCATTATTTTCTTAAGATGGGAATAGAGATCTAAAGTGATATATTTAATGTTCAAGCCATTGCTAAGAGATTTTCTGGAAAAAATGTACAGTAGAAGATTGATGGCTTGCAGTTCCCATGTTACTAAAACATACAATTATCTGTTTCTGCTCAATGCTAACAAGTAGATAAAAAGGTACTCTCTTGCAGTAGACATTCCTCCTACCAGTGAGGTAGTCATCACTTCTATGACTTGCCTTCAAAAGTTGTGGGTACTTGATCACTGGAGGTTTTTAAGAAGAGACTGGATAGCTACTTGTCTGGAATGGTAGAGTCACCTGCTTGAAGAGGGGGGTGGACTAGAAGACCTCAAGTTCCCTACCAACTCTGTTATTTTGTTATTCATGCACTGAATCCAACATGCACTAATTGGGAACACATTTATTCAAGGGGAGCCCACTATTTTCTGAGTTAATGGTTCTGATGTTAAACTAAACAGGATTTTACCCCATCATTCAATCAGAATGATTGAAATCCTGTAATTTAAATCTCTTTCTACATACATTGATTCTTCATGCTGAATAAGAGAGAATAAAGTTTGGTTTTATTATGGGTGATAACGTTTCTGGTATTTGAAGAATTATCAATAACCCCTCCCTATATTGTTGCTGTTGTTGTTGTTATTTTCTCAAAGCCAAATACTTCAGTAATCTTTTTTCTGAGGAAACATTTTTACCCTTCTATCATTGTTTGTAGGATGTTCTAGTTCCCTGATTATATTAGTTATATTTTTTGAACCTGATCAAGTTTCTTTGAATCCTTTTTAAAATATGGTGTCCAGAACTGAATACAATTCTCGATGTTGAGGGTTCAAGTGGAACTATTACTTCCTATAACCTGGAAATTATACATTTTTTAAAAAAAAAATGTTCTTTTTTGCATCTACATCATTTTGCTAGTTCATATTAAGTTTCTTTGCCTCTATAGTATTCTATATTGGAGAACTCATAACTGTTCCAGTTTACTTGACTGTCTTAGACCATTTTATCAGATTCCTCATCTATCATTTTTTAAGTAAGATAAATATCTAGCTATTTTTGAAAAATTATCAAATTTTCTGGATGGGAATTAACAACAAATTAGAAGCTGACTACTGGTTCCTTGAATATACCAGCTCATGTCTGTTTTTCACTTGACAATTTGATCAAACTGAATAAAATCAAAGATATACTAAGTGTGTTACAAATCATATTTATTGGAAAGTTACAATTTTCAACAATGCTGCCTCTCCAATAGTTTCCCAGCATTGTTATTAAGCTTCATTTTAAGAGCTATATTTCTTGTTAATACTGCTTTTAAAGTTTTTTTCCCACCCTAGTCTTCATAATCTTATCTGTCTTTGTCCTAGTCCCAAATAGTTATTGGAAATTACTATTCCACATATGACCCTCTCAGTCTGAAAATAGATGTAAAACCTGTGTTGCGACTGAATGAGTTGACTTGCAATTCCTGCCAATCACAGTTTTAACAGTGTCCAATAAATCTTCAAGTAACTTTTGAAACTACTATACAAGAAAATATCCACTGATAACAGGATTAAAGAAAGATTAAAGAAATGAATCAAAACATTATAGCTATTCAATGGAATGGCTTGCCTTCAGATTTTGTGGATGTTCCATCACTGAGGCTTTTAAGAAAAGACTGGACAGCCATTTGTCTGGCTTGAGCAGGGCCTTGGACTAGAAAACCTCCAAGGTCCCTTCCAATAACCCTTCTGTTATTCTGATTTATTGGGGGAAATGGCCCAAGCTACATATTTGTGTATGGTAAAACATGAGACTCTTTAGGATTATCAGTTCATTTGAAGGGAAAAGCAGCACCAGATTAATTTGTGTCTATCAGGGTAGCAATGCCATCATTTTTCCCTGTTTAATAAAGACCTTATCCTTTAGAAATATCCTTGAACGAACAATAAAGTCATGAATGCTAGCATAAAACAAAAATTGAGCAAGCGTAATTGTCATGAGTATAAGACAAGCACTCAAGCATGGATAATAAACATATGTATCATTTTACACATAGAGCCATGGCTCCAAAAAATCATGATCCAACCAGTTCTCTGATACACCTACATGAAATTTAAAACATAAATGCACCCAGTCTATTCTTTGCTAATATTTGCTACAAAAAACAGCAAGGCAAAATGTTACATGAAAGATCTACCTTCTTTTAGTAAGTTTATGTTTCACCAACAGCAGCAAAGTGCATAAAAAAGAGAATATAGTAAAAGTTTCAAAAACCTAAACTAAGGGTTTTTTCTCCTCTCATTTCATTTTAGTCCTTTGAAAGAGTTTTGGTTGAAAACAAGCTGCATGGTCTTTCACCAGCTCTTTCTGAAGCCATCCAGAGCATTTCACGCTGGGAATTGGTTCAAGCTGCCTTACCACATGTCCTTCACTGCACAGCCACTCTGCTTTCCAACCGAAACAAGTTAGGTCAGTGCACATCTGAGATTTTAAAAACAACTGTGGTTAGACATTACTGTATTTTTACTGTAATAGTTCAGATTAAAGATTTATGACTTGCATTTCAGTTCCATTAGAAAAAGGGAGGGAAGAAGGAAGAGAGGGAGGGAAGAAGGGAGGGAGGGAGGGTGTGTTTTCATGCACATTTGCTTTTGTGCAAATTATGTCACAGTAAACTGTCAGGGCAAGATTAACTGATGGTTGTATAGGAAAGGGACTACAATGATGAAAGAAGAAGAATGGTATCTTAAAGGGTTTGATCATGGAGAGTCTTGACACAGGGAGCGGCTTGGTGGACCATGGAAGGATACAGTCAATCACAAAAATGTGATAGAAAGACAGCTAGATTTTAAAACCTACGTGATAATACTAAAAATATTGTCAGCAGTAAAAGTCCTCAGGAAACCGATTATTGCTTATATTTTTACAAAATATAATTAAAAGCATGTTTTCAATAGAAAAACACATGTCTTATCTATCTTTCAATACAATGCAATATAAATACAAGATAAAGTCCAAGAAACATTGTTTAGATGATACCTTCTGAAATATTAATTGGGTTTATTAGAGCATACCATGTTTCCCTGAAAATAAGACCCTGTCTTATATTTTTTTGAACCCTGAAATAAGCGCTTGGCCTTATTGCCATGTGCTCAAAAGCCCAATTGGGCTTATTATCAGGGTATGTCTTATTTTGGGGGAAACAGAGTAGAAAAAATTGAGATGTTTATGTTTTATAAGTAGCTTTAGGAATGATTTAAAGTAGAACAGTTCATGTTCTGTCAGATAAAATGTAATAGCCCAGTACAGTGGGCACCCTGTCAGATAAAATGTAATAGCCCAGTACAGTGTCTTCTTAGATGGGCATGGGCAACAAATAAGGAGATTAATTTAGTTGACTGCTGGTTTTGTACAGTAGCATGTGCTTGGTATTATGGTAAACAAGTTGAGTAGAGCTTCTTTTCAAGCTGCACCATTTAATCATGGTCCTCACAATCTTTTTCCATCTAGGACATCAGGACAAACTTGGTGTTGCTGAGACAAAACTCCTTCACACTCTACATTGGATGTTGCTAGAAGCACCTCAAGACTGCAGCCATGACCACTTTGGAGGATCAGGAGACAGAGGGTCAAGCTGGAGAGGAAGCAGCAGTGCCTTTATCCACCAGATTGAAAACCAAGAATCTCCAGGGCAATCAAGATGTGACAGTACCAATGAAGAAGAAGAGAACAGCAGAAGGAAGTTCTTTCAGAATTCAATGGCCACTGTTGAGCTTTTTGTGTTCTTGTTTGCTCCTCTGGTTCATAGGATTAAAGTAAGTGCCTAAAATGGCTGTAAGGCAGGGGTGAAATCTACTTACCTTCCTTACTGGTTCGGAAGCGCACGCTTCTGTTAAAACCAGGAAGTAATGACGCCTAGGTGATGATCGCTACCAGATCGCCAAACCACAGGAAAAATTGGTACTGGATCAGGCAATCCGGTCCGATCCGGGAGCATTTTACCCCTGCTGTAAAGGCTGTAAAGGAAATGGAGTATTTGGCTATCATAAGTAACAACTACTACTTAGCACATCTGGTGTTTGATGGAAGTAGTATGTGGATACAAGAAACTAGTCTGATTTTTTTCTACTATCATGTCTCCATCTATGTTGCATTTATTAGGGAATTTATTTATTTATTTGATTTATATATGGAAGAGTGTGAAGTGATTGCAAGATTTTTTTCCCCCTTTAGTGTAAAGAGTCAACCATCTGGCTTCAAACTCATCCAGGATCCAGATATTTTGCCTGCCATAAATAGAATATCTTTAGAAAAAGATAGTATATTTTTAGAGAGTCACTGAAGCTGTGGAGCTTTGCCTATGTCCTTAAGGTCACTTGAGTAATGCAAATGGGTGTGGAACTTTCTTGGAACTGCTGAAAGGAGCTGTGTTTTCTATAGGATGTTTTCTGCCCTGTGTCCCTTCACTGTGACTTCAGCTTGAGAAGGAAACAACACAGACTCATTCCCAACAGCCTGTGCCTGTGTTCACAGTGAACACAGTATGTTCACAGGCTGTTGGGGCTAAGTCTGTGTTGTCGCCTTCTCAACCTGAAGTCACAGGGCAGAAAACATCCTGCAGAAAACACAGCTCCACAACACAGTCCTTTCAGCAGTTCCAAGAAGGTGTCACACCCATTTATGACCCTGAGGACACTGACAAACCTCCAGGTGGCCTCAACATCTCTCTAAAAGAATACAAATGACCAGCTTTCTACAGGGAATATAAATCCTTCCATTCACCACCATCCAGTCAGAGCTGAAGAAGTTTCTTGAGTAAAACGTCTTCAAAGAAAAACAAGAAAGTCCAGTTGCCTCTTGTAAAAGCATCTTTGGGACAAAAATATGGACATATGATCTTGTTTTCCAGAAACAGTGTCTTGATATTCTTGCATTATCTCTATAACTGAGCTGTGACTACTGTTGCTCCTTCCTTATTATCCAAACTAGTCATCATCTTCATACAAGATCCTGTTTACTTCTCCTTGGGCTCATTCATACTACTCATATGGAGACTGGAAAGCTTAAATTCAAGTCTTCAAAGCATGCTGAGGATTATGAAAAAGGCCATGAATTGTTCTCTGTTTTTCCTCTAAAGATGACTCATTCTTTTTCCTACTGAGCCTTAGTCATAGTTGAGGCATTTAAAGTGACAAAATACCCTTAGCGCTTCTGATCATGTTTTCTGTTTCTGGTTTGGAGGGTGAAGGCTACGTAACACGGCCGTGTTCCCATGACACAATTAGCAGTGCCAGGATGTCCATAAACTCCCACATGCAATTAATTGATCCAACGATTACCATACCCCTTAAGTAATTTGTTTTAATTCCAAACACACTGAGGCTAAAATAAAGACTTCTAAATTTCTCTGTCTTTTTTGAGTCCTAAAGAGGTTTCACCAAAGTGAGCCTTTTATAGCTATTCTATCTGTATTGTTCTGGCTTCTTCTCCTTCAATAGAGCTGCACAGGAGATTAAAAAGGGCAAAAAAGACTGAGATGAACACCAATTCCATGAAACTCTAGTGGCAATAATAGTCCCACATCTCCTTTCATTTTTACTCAAAAAAAGTATTGCCTTCCAGGGGATATATTGCCTGTACTGAAAAGACTTTGCCAAAATATGAGCATTACAGGATCCACAGATTTTTTCTTTACTGGACAATGTAACTAAAGTAGAGGAGGGAGAGATGGTGGAGTAATCTTGCTTCATCTTAATGTTTACGGTAATTTTTGCTTAAATTTTAATTAATTACAGTAATTTTAATTAGATTATCAAATTAAAAGACTAGCTAACCTGGCCTTTTGCTAAGGTCAGATTAGCACTTTATCTGAGTGCTAATTTGGCACCATAAATAGCATATATGTGAAAAAAAAATTAACCAGCTTTAGAATTGGAATGTTTTACACATATATCCTTTTTCCTTAGAATAATTCAATAATTTGCTGTATTCTTATTTTTAGGAATCTGATCTGACCTTTCGTCTTGCCAGTGGTCTTGTCATTTGGCAGCCAATGTGGGAACATAGACAGCCAGAAGTCACTGCCTTTACTGCACTTGTTAAACCCATCAGGAATATAATCACAGGTTTGTGTGTTTGTATGTGTTTGTGTGCATGTGTATGTGCATGTGTGTATGCACGTATATATGAGCGCACACTAAAACAAGTTCTTTTCCATCTATATGCACACTATAGTTATTATGACCATTGGATCAGTATAGATTTACAGTATTATCTGCTTGCTTTTTTTTTTTAAAGGATGGCAGTAAAGAAAGGCTTTCTATTGCCTAAACTGTTTTTACCAACAGAATTCCTAGCACTAATAATCAAGCTATTCTGCTTCTTCATTTTTAATATAGCTTTTCCTGGTAACAAGAAAGAAGGAAAAATTGTTGAGAAAACTATCTCTTTGGGTTTTTTAAGAATAAATCTAATCATAGAGGTGGATTGCAATTAGAGGATAAACTTGTGAGATTTTAAAATATAGGTGCCCTTTAAAATGTAATCTTGAGTCACATTCTGAGGGTTATATGAGACTAAAGTACTAAATTACTTGACATGTTCCCATTCCTAGAATTTGGCAGGGGGCATGTTTTACATTCTTTATGTACTCATACTGATGGCATGAGTATAGCTTTGTTGAGAACCTTGGCAGAGTGCGATATTGTATGTGAATTCATTTGACTTAATGGTATAGTGGAATAACTGTATTCTATAATTCATTGATTTTAGCAGTAACATGGAGCTCTCTGGTCTGACTACTCCATGAACTTCCAGAAATAAATACTGTCTTAGTTAGCTAATTAATGTTGAAAATGAATCAGAAAGGGGCCCTGCATTTCACGTAAGCAATGGGTTTTTCTTCAAATCCATTGCAGGAGTAGGTAGGTAGCAAGTGAGCTTAAAGGACACGGGGCAAGATGAGGAGCACAAGTTCTGCCAATCACTTACATGCTGCAGTATCTTCCATCCAAAGTAGCTGTCTCATTTAGCCCAATGGTAGAGAAATATATGAAGGACCAAAAATGGGAAATATCAGGAGGCTATCAACCGCTGTCAAAGATTATGTCCCAGCATCTTAAGTACAGTATTAATGATGTAATGTAACTTATAATCATAATAAAGATGTTGCCTAGCTTCACCCAAAAAAAAAAAGGCAAACGTCATATGCAGTGAACCAATTTTTATCTTTTATGGTACTACTAATGTGGCCCAGAACTTATATCTAACAACTCCTCTCCTAAAAAATCCTAGTTACCATAAATCACTTCTTATAGATCTTAAAGAAGCTGAGAATTGCACCTAACAATTTTAATTCTGATCTCACCCACAATACTATCTGTCCAATATTTATAATAAGATGCAATTAGATTTAGAATCCATAATTCTCGATTCCCTGATATATAGTTCTGTATTGATTAAAGAGGATAACTAGTTACTCATATATGATTAAAAAGAGTGGGTCATTTAAAGTATAGTCTGCTGTCAGAATTGCTAAAGCTTGATTCATGAAGCTTCTGTACTAACACATTGTTGAATTTGCCAGCAAAGAGGAGTTCTCCAATCAAAAACCAGGGTCTTACATGTGAATCACCTAATTTGGATGCTGAGCATACAGAGGTAATCACTGAGGCTATATTGTTTTGGGGAGAGTAATAGGAATCAATGGTGGGAGCAGGGTAAGCAGGCAGAAAAATGCTTCCAAACAGTAGTTGCCACCTGGGCTTGTGATTAAGTATACATTTAAAATGGTAGTTCTATTGTAGCCATTGGCAGAAAATTCAATAAAATGTCCCTGTATAAATATTTATTGAAATTGGAACAGCAATATCTACCAAAAAGGGGGTTATTTGTGTATATAGACCATCTGATTGGCTCCTTGGCTTTCTCCATGAGCCACCTTTTTCTCCTGGCTCACTGAAAGGACCTCCTGACACCAGGAAATGTGAAATAGATTAAGCAAGTCAGTCCTCCCTGCTACCAAGAACTGAAGATTTAGGGGAAATTGCACATAATTCATGTTGAGGTGCCTTTTAAGTTGAGGTGCTGAAGAGCCCATAAACTATTTCAATCAGTGCCTGAAGGTTTCTGGGGCATTGAGTATTTGTTTTATTTTTGTTTTACCACTTGTGTTTTGTTGCACCTAGGATGGCAATTTTTCATCTAGGTTATATCTCAGAGTACAGATGAAGGGCTTATAGCACAGAATGCCTTGCTGTCATAGCGGTAGGAAACTTGGCACTCATATGCACTAGTGTCCCTGCAGCAATTCCTTTGAGGCTTCCAGGCTCTGTATCTGACATTAAAACAGATAAATAAATGGGAAGCTGGAATGCTGCAAAACACAGTAGCCATCAATAGCATCATTTCAAGCATCTTAGAAAATAAGAATGTTTAGCAATAAAAGAATGATAGACTGCACCCCATTGTATGGCCTGCAAGCATCCCCACCTAGCCAGAAAAAAGGAACAAGCTAACCTGGACTATTAGGAAACATCTTATGCGGGTGGAGGGGCTGACATGGGGCAAGCTTCATACCTGGCCTTCCTGTAAGTATTTGTGACTGGTCATGCTTGCTGCCTCTTTGTGAGTAGGTTGTCCTTCTGCAACAACCATTGTATGACATGTTTACAATATGTCCCCCCCCAAAAAAAACGAGTGTGTGCATATTTTATTTAAAAATGGCATTCTTTTGATGGTTTTGTTCTTTAAGTGACATATAATAATTTTAACAATTCAAAATACAACAAATTGTATGAGCCTTTACCTGCTGTTGGAAGTGATGGTGATGTAATCATCCCAGTGTGGATGCTTGGGTGGTTTTAGGGGTGGGGAATTTTTGGTGGGTGTGGGTGTGTCTGGGGATTGTCATGTGAGTTGGGTCTGATCTGTGGCTGTTATGTGAATTTTGTTGTATGGATATACTGCATATACACGTACAATGACAATAAACTTTATTTATTTATGTACAGTACCTACATATTATTTTCTTTCCATGTCTCATCATGTCCATTTGTTTTCATTCCAGAAGCTCTAAAAATAATTTCAATTTATTTCTAAGACTGGGAAATGCAATTTTTCTTCCATCCTAACTTACAGAAACTTTCAAGACAATATCTGGAGGTTTTCTTGCTTGAATTAGTAGTCACAACAGTATTGATTCCCTGGTGCATCTACACAATCTGCATTTTAACCTTGTTTCTTCCTGGCCTGCAGATAGTGTGTGAATCAACAGAATCAGACTCTGTTCCACCAAGACGAGCCTTTCTGGGCTGCCACCGTGGAAATTCCATTGATGGAAGCATCTCACCCCAAGGGTCCCAAGAGAAAGGAACCCCCTATCCTCGGTAGGCATTCTTCTGCAAGGTTAAAATTTGTCAGTTTCAATTCAATTAGTTCAGCACAGGGTAATTTACGAAATCTTCCATTAAAGAGAACTAGTTTGGTGTAAGAGTTAAGGCGCCCGAATAATTTTATGCTCCTTTACTTTCCTTTATTCTAAATCATCTTTCCCTCCAAAAGTCCCACTGGAAACCCTAAGATTGTAACATGCTTAAAGTACAAGTTTTTCACAGCCATTTTTCATTTTGAGCACAGATTGACGTAGTACAGTAATACAGCTGTATCCACCCAAGTGTCCTGCCAGGGTATAATACTTATACTCCTCAATCCCCTAGCCATTGTGGAATTGTAGTCTTGGACACCTAAAATACTTTGTCACACTTGAAAGGCTGAACAGAAAACATTTCATTCATAAAATACTTTTAAAAAACGAAAGATAATAGTTCATTTTGTATGAACGGAGGAACTTCTTTATATATTGAGCTTGAAATGAAATACATCTAAGTGCTTAATTTCCTGCCCTGATCTAGCCAGTGGATGCCTTATTTGATAGGACAAACGTGTGACCAACCCTGTTTATCAACCAGGATCCATAGTTAACACAATCTTATTGATGAAATTGTTGAAATGTGGCACCTGTAGCTTACCTGTGAGAAGTCAAAAGGCTGATTGTGCCTTACATATACAGATGGTTAAAAAGAAACAGGAAATCAAATTGGTATTTTCTATGTATTGGGTCCTTTCCCCCCTCAAATATGCAGGTTCAAAATAGAGCAAGGCATTCAGTGTCTGAAACTGAGCTGGGTGGTCACTATGGCAATGAAGCTGCAGGCAGGGTCTCTAACCTGCGTCATTAATTTCTCTTCATTTGCTGAACTCATTGATCACTCCAAACGGAACTGGAGAGGGTGTTGCCTAGCAACAAGCAGGAACAGAATAAATGTTGTTTGCTCTACTTACTGATCCAGCTTTTATACAATTATTTCTGCCCTTGACGATAAAATTCAAACAATCATTACATCCTGGCCTTTGGGGAAAGTTTGCAATCACTGACTCAGTGAGCTTAGTGTGCAATTAAAATTAAGTAGAAAAAAAAATTGTACAATTTAAAAATTGCTGAAAGAGAGAAGAGGAAAGTGAAATAGAAGTGGAGAAGCGGGGAGGAGGGGAACAAAAATAATTTAGAAAAAACCAACACCACTGACTCTAACCAAATGACTTCCAGACCTACTTTGTTGTATTTAATGCAGGAGACAGAACAGAGCTATTGCTAAAAATGAAGCCAAGACCTTTCCCAGAATTCCTGAGGAATTACATAATAACTTGCTACTTGTACTAACAGAGGCGTGTTACCTGATTGCTTGTGTCCTATAGAGAGAAGGAAGTCAAAATATATGCCAATGATAAAGCTGCAAATCAGGAAGATTAAAACTGTCATCATCATGTAACTGCTTAATTTAGATAAATAAATTGTAGGGGTTTCTCCTTGCCATGTACAATTTCTTAATATCTTACCTATCTCTTTGAAATAACATAAGGATATTTACCTAGAAATGCTGCTAAGTAAATATAACAATGTTGAAGTAATATAAATGTTTACAAAATTTATTTCTTCCAGTAATTTTGTTAATTTTTCTTTGAGCTAATAATATATTTACAAGAACACATGAAAAATCTGATATGTTTACAAGAACAGATGAAAAATGTTTCACTGAATAATTATTTGTAGATTTAAAAGAATTCAAGCAATAATTGGAATGCCAATTTTTATAAATTTCAATAGAAACTTAATAGAGTTTGTAGGAAGCATAGAGGTATATGACAAAGTATCATATATCAATAGTCTACTCGTTGACTATTCAAAGTTGCAACAGTACTGAACAAGGAGAATTTATAACCAGTCCTCAAAGTTCTGACCATTTCAGCATACTATTGGTCATATAATTGTGATTCAGCCACTTGGCAACTGGCTTACACTTACAACAGTTATAGCATCCTCCGGGCTCATGAGTCCCATTTGAGACTTTTCCTGTTGGCTTCGCACAAACAAAGTCCATGAGTAAGCCAGCAGGAGGCTCCAGTCCTGCTGCTGTTTCTCCTGAAGGATTTCATACTCCATTGCAATCCTACCTGCCTGCACTGTAATGCACACCTGCCTGCAGACCCACCCCCATAGCGCCTGAACACCTCACCCACCCACCCACCCACACTTCTTGTATGGGACTCCTGCCTCTTTCTGCTTAACAATCCACACAGTTCTGAAATTACGATGGCAATGGGGACTGCTGTGATTGCATCATTAAGCAATGTGGTCATGTAACATTGTGCTTTATGTCCACATTGCTTACAACAGAAATTCTGGTCCCAATTGCCGTTGTAACCTAAGGACTAAATGAATTTGTCACGCTATTCAATTAATTGAATACTCTGTTAAATTGCCAAATAGTACTATGATAACAATAGTTCTTATTTTATACTATCTATTCTTTCTTTAAAAATTACTTAATAGTGAATAAATAAGGCATGAGGCATAAGGTTAGAAAGAGTTACTTAGGATGAAAATACATTAATTTCTTCAATATGTATTTTATCCTGGTAACCCTTAATAGTAGAAATAAGATGACATTGTTGTAACAAAGTTCTATCTAAAGTGTATAGGAAATAGATAACCTTTTTAACATATTGCTATAACATGCATTTGCAATTTGTTTATTTGTACTGTGAACCACAAATTTGTACTTGTCTTGGGAAACATTTTTTTTTTCTGCATAAGGCATGTCAGAAATTAGAACATTGAATGTAATTATTTCAATCAACAGTAATTTATCTGATCTTTCAACTTGCTCAAAATGCCTTTGCTGAACAATTGATTAGGTATTCTGTTACAGGGGCACAATAGGAATCGTTTTTATTTAGCACAGCTAAATGTTTTGTACAGTTCTGATGGAGCTAATTTAGAATGTCTGCCTAAAGGTTCCTTAGCTTTCTTCCCCAAATAGTCTCACTGTTATATTTTTTTTACATGTTTGTTTCTCTGTGAAAGATAATATCTCTGTATTTAACTTGCATTTTATTTATAAGGGGAAAATGTCAGACTTTCTTTCATCTGTATATCAGTTTGCATCTTTTTCGTAAAAGCAGATCCTTTAATGAATCATATAGTATCCAGAAAAAAAATGAGATGACTGTTTCTTACAATAGTCACAATGAATACTTATATTTATTCAGCCATTCAATGTGTGAGATATGAATAAATAAACTAGTTGAAAACAAGGTAGTTTCTAAAGTAGATATCCAAGCATGCATAGAATGGCATATTCAAGGTAAATTTGGGCTCCAGGTGCTTGTGACATACTGGCTGAAATGTTGTCCATACTGTTATCAGAGAATACTACATAGGACATGGATACAACAAAGTTTGGTAACCTGCTTTGTAGCTTTTCTATCATAGTAAAAAGCATTGTGTGAAAGCTCTGATTGATCAAAACCATGAGGAGAGCAGAGATCAAATCTATGGATTTAAGTGGTGATAACTAAGCTTTACAGATTAACTTGGAATAAAAGAGTACATTGCAAACAGCATTGATTAATGAAAAGAAATTAAAATAGATGTGTTGAGCATCTGTGAAACTAATAAAAAAGAAAAGATGTAATAGATCTGAATGAAGTGGCATTCAGAAATACATGCTAGGAAATGAAGGTGTTTGTGCAATTATGAGGGGGAAAGTGTTAAAATCTGTGTTAGGAAATATGAATTACTGTCATCTAGATTGTTATGGGAGCATATGAAAACAGGAATCCATATGTTGGTGATACTCGCCTGATATACTGCAATGAATTGTGATAATAGAAGAACCAGACCTGAGAAACATTGTGAGTGAATGTGTTCCAGGGGAGAATATATTGCTAGTGACATGAATGGATGGGCAGGATCAAGATGATAGCATTCAGAAAATATGAACAGGCCATTTGAAGACCTCCAATGAATGGTGACTATTTGATGAGTTTCTCTTTAGTTTCAAATACATAGTCTAAATATAACTGTGGGTTTTTTTTTGTTTTTTTTAAAATTTGATTTATATGCCGCCCTTCTCTGGAGACTCAGGGCGGCTTACAATGCGTTAAGCAATAGCCTTCATACAAAGTCAGCTTATTGCCCCCACAAACTGGGTCCTCATTTCACCTACCTTAGAAAGGATGGAAGGCTGAGTCAACCTTGATCCTTGGAGAGATTCGAACCAGCAGTAAATTGCAGGCAGCTATGTTAATAACAGGGTGCATAGACCACTGTACTATCAAGGCTCTTTAAATACATATAGGAAGAGGAGATATAAAACTAAAATCATTATTGGCTAAATTGTTTGTGATGAATGACCAAGAGAATTAATGAAGAATTCAAGAATGTTCAGAGGTTTGGAAATGTGTGGAAGACAATTTTATTGCAGTGTTGAGAATGGATTTTGGAGGCAAATGAAAAATAAAGGAAAGGAAGAAACTAGAAGAAACAAAAGTGAAAGGAAAACTCCAGGGAGTTCTGTATGTTAAGTCTGTGGTTACAACAATATAATTTTATATATTTGTATAAAAGTATTAAAAGATAGGTTTGTCTCCTGTCAGAATGACTGGAAAGCAGGCAATAAAGAAAGAAGACATGAAAGCTACCTCGAATGGAGTGAAAAAAAATGAAGCAGGGTGCCCCATAATTATGTGGTGCTAATGAGAAGGATGAACGTGTTTGGTGGCATGGTAAAATGAAAGAAACTGAACTTATATATATCTGCAAAAAGCAGAATGAATGAAAGAAAGAAATTGTATCTTGTGTAAAGAGAAAGGGTAACAGCGGAAAATGTAGTCAGAAAAAAGAATGGTTAAGGCTTAAAAAGTCAGAAAAAAAGCAAATTCGTTTTGTAGGGAATGAAGCATTGTTTTGTAAATGGATGAATGGCCTAAACAAGGAGCCACCAGCAGAGTGAACATAATTCAAAAGAAAATAAAGTGATGAAATTATTGAAGTGGAGGAATGCCTGAGGGAGTATTCTATGGAAATATGTTAGAGTAAAACTACAAATGTCAGCAATAAACCTGATGAAAAGTAATACATGCTGTGAACATTTTGAAAAATGATTATGATAAAAATACAGATACCATTATTGGAAAAATGTTAAAATATGGATATGGTTTGTTTACAAGATTGTATCTGTCCCTGACAATTGGAATCATTTTCCTGTGGTATTATTAGGGTTCATATAGGTGTGCAATTTCAGTTAAAACTGACAAAACCAAACTAGATTACGGTAGCAGTTAGAGGATCCTTGTTAGAATACAAATGCTCTCAAAAGGGTATGTTTATCTCAGCAAGGCTTTTGCAGAAAATTCATTAGATGTATTTTACAGTATATATAATTTCACATTTAACATATTTTTTATTAAATATATAAACAGTGTTGAAAGCAGTAATCCATTAACTGGTAGGTGCATTAATGCACCATTGAAACATCAATTGAATTGATGCAACACTTTATAGAGATATGGATGATTAATCAGTTTTCAAACACACATGCTTAGAAGGAATGCCTATAACTAATTGCATTTACAAATGCACATATCTATTGCTACAGGCAAGATAATTGTAGAATAGAATCCTACAATTGGAAGGTCATAAACCTTAGCTTCCTATTTACTGCAAGAAAAGCATCCCTGAAAGTTAGTTGTCCAGATTCTGCTCTTGAATATGATCTGGAAAATTAGTACAAAAAAGTAAAAAATTCTACAACTAAGCCAATTTTATTTTCACTAACTCCCAGAGTTGTTCTGTTCCTGAGATCAAGGAACAGGTTTTAATCTATAAAGCTCTTCTGAACTTGGGACCATGTTATCTAAAGGAATGCCTTCTTCCCAATTGTCCTCAGTGAATCCCAGGAAAAATTTCTGAGGCCTATTCTGGCACCTTCTAATGCTGAGATCCTGAGTAACCAGTATACAGGAATGGCTCTTTTCAGTGGTTGTCTTTCACCTCTGAAATGATTCTCCCAGTATAATTTTATTCTCTTTTCAGCCATTTTTGTTTGTCCATATTTTACTCAATTATTGATTTAATTTTAAATACACGTGTTGTTTAGAATCATTTAAAATACTCTGGTGCCTGCTGCTTGTATTATTTTATCATTTTAGTGTAACATGTTTTAATTCTTGTGTTTTGTGCATTGTACATTTTCAAAAATTATGAGTTTATGTTGTTATAAGTCTGGGCAATATGATCATGTTTATATTCAATCTTATGAATCCTTTGCAGTGGAATTTTATCCCTGAACAATGATCCATGGGAGTGTATTCAACAATTCCAAAAAAAGCCAACAATTTTTTGGCAATCTAAGAAGAGTATATTCATGTGTAATTTTAAGATCAGTCCTTTGGTTGGGATTGGGCCCTTGGTTTTTCAGCACAATTTATAAGCTAGCAATTTCCAGAGTATCATGAAGACCTTCTGTTTGAAACTTAATTAATGTAATTATCACATACATGAAGGAGAATCTGAAATGTGTGCCCAGTGGAGATGACAGAAGAATTGGGCAGGTTTTCATGGAATCCAGAGAGAGGATGTTTCTTCCTTCTGAAACTTTCCCAACAATGCTGAGTTTTAAAATTCATGCTCAAGATCAGCTGGGCCCCTTTCATTCTTCTTCACTCTCCTAAGTCTTAGAATAAAAGCTACATTTCATATTAATCAGTTTGTGTTCCCTTTTTTCTAAATAATGGGTTACCACATTTGGGGATTGTCTGTTAAGATCATGCTGATATTAACAACTCTATCCAGGATGAAGAAACAGATTGTTATTTGGGGGCCCACATCTTGATTGTTACTTGATTCCTCAATTGATTGGATTAATGTGCTTCTTTTTGCTCTTTGTAACAGAGTGTCTTTGGTGATCCCACCATGCCAAAGGTCCCGCTATGCCACTTACTTTGATGTTGCTGTATTACGATGCCTGCTTCAGCCACACTGGTCTGAGGAAGGCACACAATGGTCCTTGATGTATTATCTCCAGCGGCTGCGCCACATGTTAGAAGAAAAGCCAGAGAAATCATTTGACCCAGAAATCCCACCATTGCCAAGGCCACGCAGTAGTTCCATGGTGGCTGCTACTCCTTCATTAGTCAATACTCACAAAACACAGGTAAAATCAGGCAATTGGATGGCTAATATTTCCAGTTTTAAACATTAACACCTGGTCAAAAGTTCAGTTGCAAGTTAGGATTGAAGTTCATGTTTAATTCTGTAAACAAAGTACTCATTATTATCATTGAAGTTCTAGATATACATACTGAACTTTACTTGTTGTAGATTGCTTATGTCTCTTTACTTTGGGGGTGCTTAAGCTAAAAGAACCTAAATAAAGTGAGAAACAAAAGATCATGGACATCATTATAATCATAAGCAAGCAGAGGACGTATTGATTAGTATTTTTCTATATTATCAAACTTGAGAATCAATGAAGAGAGTGGGGGAGAGAGAGAGGTGCAGCTAGTGGTGCAAATAAGCAGATATTTAGGAACAGCAACAACTTTAGCTAAATCTTGAAGTCTATAGAATAATAAGTCTTTCAAGAAACAAAATCTGATATGAGGATTCCAAAGTAGCCAGTGAAGACTGTTCTCTGTTCTTTCTAGAGAACACTGCAAGATTATAGAGAGAAAACTGAAATATAGACAGAAGGATGTCTGTAATGATAGGAAACAGCTAACACTGGAAATGTTTGAATATGACTAAACTAAATAAAAACTTTTATTCATATTCAAAACATTACAGTTCAAGCATTACCACAAGGTTCAAATTCTCTATTATCCGAAGGAAACAAATGCTGACAAAAAGGTCATGCTTTTTACATGCTTGTTTTTTTTTCTTGTCTTTCTTGGGGAGTGTAGGATCTCACAATGAAATGTAATGAGGAAGAAAAATCATTAAGCACCGAAGCTTTTGCCAAAGTATCCCTAACTAACCTGAGGAGACCAGCAGTTCCCGATCTCTCCTCTGATTTGGGAATGAATATATTTAAAAAGGTAAAACTATAATGTTTTAAATTCCATGTATGATCCCTAAATGACATACTAACTGCATTTTACTAGATGGAGGTCTAATATTGCAGTTGGATTTAGCCTTATATTTGCTGTTGCTCCTTTCATAGTAGGGTACAATTAAGATCTATGGCCTAGTATAGTCTGTGTCCAAGAAAAGATGGCAGGCTTCTACCTAAAGCTCAGGAGGACACCAAGCTGTGTACACATTGCTTTTCATTTTGAAAAAAAACCTACTGGGAAACCATGGAACAAACTTCCATCTAATGAAACAACCAAACCAAAAGCAACTGCAAGGAAATTGTTATTTTTTAAAGGTTCTGTGCACTCATTTCACACCTTCATAACCAGGTCCAGTTTTTGAATCAAACTCCAGATGCACATAGCCTAATATTTTCCAGTTTTATTGGCACCAGCTCCATCTTATATACTAAGCATATATTCCACTGCAATGCCATGGTCACTTCTGTATTTTACGACACCATTTGCATCCCAAACCCACTCTCCATCAGTCTAAAACCCAACCATTTCTAATGAGCTAAAATTCACATGTAACTTTATTATTAAGGTAACGTACATTTTTTCCTAGTTCAGTTACTTTAAATCAGGACTGGAAAATTGTAGCTCAGAAGTACCTGTAGCCACATATGCCCTGATTACTACTGTATCCAGTCCTTTAGAAGTAGAAAAAAACATGAAAATAAAATAGGTTTTTGTAATGACAAGTATCCATGCTCCTGAGAAACTCAGTATTGCTTAGGGTTGCCAGGTCTGCTTCCAAAAAGTAGCGGACAAGCGGGGGGAGGGGGGGTTAAGTAGTAAAAAAATAAAAAAAATTTACAATTAAATTATATATTTTCTTACAAACATTTTAACACGTATTAAAATAATCACTTCAAAACTTTATTTAAAATTCAAAACATCAAATGTATTATAATAATATGTAAAATATTAAATTACATTTTACTTTGCTGTCGTGTGTATTTTTTATTTGACTGCGCAGCTTTGATCAATTCTTTATGTTTAAGGAATAATTCTTTAATTTCAGTACAACATTGAGAAATATTAAAAAATATACAAAGTTCACTTCGAACTGATGGTACAAGCAGTTGGTTATGTTCGTCAGTCCACAAATTTCCCATGATGCTGAAAATTCGTTCAACGTTTGCATTTGATACTGGAATTGATGCACAATATTGGAACAGTTTCAGTAAACTCGGAGCTGGCTCTTTCTTGAAAAAGTACGTCCACTTATCAAGGGATGAATCGCCCTGCAGATGAACATAAACTTCTTCTAAGGCAGAAATTTCATCGAAGAGAGTGTTGGGTGGAAGTTCTTCTCGCCATGGTGATAATAACCAGATGTTCATCATTTCTTCTAAAGTTGGAGGATTATTGCGATCAATTAGATTGAAACAACTTAGCGTCTCATATACTGAATCGATGAAATTATACCACTTTTCTAGGTACGCAATGGCTCTTTGATACACGTTGATGGCTTCTTTCTTGAACTTTTGCATGGCATTCTCAGGCAAATGTTTTTTACGTAAGGCAAATAAAACTTTCATTCCAAAAAACTGCTCATCGTATTTTTTTTGCAAAGAATCACGCAGCTTACACATGATAATGTGAAGATCATATGCAAGAATTTTCTTGCTTTCCAGCTTCAGTAGGGTGTCTTGCATTATTGACATGAAGTGCGTGAAATATAAATACAATTCTGAAATTGTTGGTTCATCGTCCTTTGCGAGTTCATTTTCCTGATCCGAAATAAGGTTCCAGATAAACTTATGGCACTCATCAGATCCAAGAGAAATAAAATACGATTTTAGAGGTATCCAGTTTAAAAGAAGTCTTTCGACCACTTTAAACAAACTTAACCAACGTGTTGGAACATGGCGCAAAACTTCATGGAATTCTGACTCGCAAAACTCAAAAAATGATTTCAACTCTTCTCGTTTCTTCGCAGAATTCGAAAATTCAGCAAAAACATTCAGCACTACATTTTCGATATCAAAAGATAACTGCTTTAATGCATTTTTTTGCGCTGTTGTGTAAAATGTGATTATTGCAATGAGCATTCGATCTTTGTCTCATTCTAACTTAATGAAAAAAAAGACAAAATGCAATTCTCCTATCCTTATTCTCTTAGACTGTACAGCTTTAGATTATGTACCATTTCATCATAAAGCTTTTGAATAAAAAAATGTCCACTATTTTGTGAAAAAAAATAGTGAACATAATGTGAAAAAAGTGGACTGTCCACTCAAATAGTGGACACCTGGCAACCCTACTATTGCTAATGACTATGAGGTAACCTAATACTGTGGGATCTTCAGCCTTCTAGAAAAAAAATATAAGCCTGTTTCTTGGTCATCTAAATGTTGCCTGCCCTTACTCTGATTAGTTAAAACAGTATAGGCCCAAAGAAAAAGCAAATTAATTCCAGGTTATTTTCAAGAATCTGAGCGTCTGAGAAGAGATTTGTTGTTTGTTTATTACATTTATATACCACCCATTTCACTGTTAAAGAAACTCTGTTAAAGAAACTCTTTCATGCTTTCTGCAATTCAGTTGTCCTGCATAGATTTCTTCTACATTTTTCCTGCAGTTCAAGAGTCGTAAGGAGGATCGTGAACGCAAGGGCTCTATTCCTTTCCACCACACAGGGAAGAAAAGGCAACGTCGAATGGGAGTGCCCTTCCTGCTCCATGAAGACCATTTGGATGTATCACCTACTCGAAGCACATTCTCTTTTGGCAGCTTCTCTGGGATTGGTGAAGACAGGCGTGGCATTGAGAGAGGAGGGTGGCAAACCACTATTCTAGGTGAATAAAAGGCCCTTACTGAAGACAAAGTAACTTTTCTAATAAACCAGAGTTTATCTCCTCCAGACTGGAGGAGAAATGAGGAATAAAGTAGTAAAGAAGGAGGAAAATTTCATTAGGCAGTTAAAAGTCCATTTATAACATTTAATGCCACCCAACATAACTTATTAATTTAATCTTATAGGATTCCCATTTGTTATATGTTATTACTTATGCAAATTTTTCTTTTAATCTTATATATCTGTTGTTTGCTTAGTCTGGATAATTATTTGAGAATTAATTATTTTCTGCCCAATGGAAGCAGATTGTTTCCAGCTCATTGATCCATTCTAATCAAATTCCTAAAGCTCTTAAGTCACTTAATGATCACAACTGAGATACTCATTTTCTTGGTCTCTTCATCTTACATGAAAGGAAAGGGGCATTTTCATTTTTTTATAGCACTTTATCACTGATTCATACCCTTTGTAGTAACAAATGCAGTGGCTATGCTCCTCACTGAAGTTTTGCTGCCATTTCCAGGACATCTCTGAACTGGAGATGCCCAGTCATTTCCAGATTTTGAAGCTGCTCACCCCAGTACTTTTAAGAATCATGATCCATGAAAATAAAATAAGGTATATAACTTCCCACCAAAACAAAAACAAACACTATGAGCCATAAAACTGATGCATTAGAATTTTTTTAAAAATCAGCTGATGTTTGAGCAAGAATGCAAAGACAAATAACCTTTCCTACCCTTCACCCCTACCCACTGATTGGCAACAGGCTGAACAAGGGGAAAATCCCATATTATTTATAACTGGCTCCTGTTGAACCCAATTCAGAATAAACCAGTTTGCCAACTTTGTTTAACCCATCACTTCAACCAATTGACTGCTGACCTATGCCTCATTCAAAGTCTCTTTAATCAGTGGACATTATAATGATCTGAAATTTGTATTGTGACAGTCCACAAGGGTACAGTACAGTCTCTGTAAATCCTAATAATATTTTTTATTTTTTATTTTAAATATTATGCAATTTGCAAATGATTCCTGAATAAGTGATAGAATAGCAAGAAATAACAAAATAAAACAATAACAAAATACATAAAAATAAAAATAAAATAAAATGATGCTGCAGCACTAACAGCACAATGCATGTCTTTTTTCCTACTCCAGGGAGATTTACAAGACGGGGCAGCTCTGATACAGCTACTGAGATGGAAAGTCTGAGTGCTCGGCATTCTCATTCCCATCATACTTTGGTTACTGACCTGCCAGATCACTCCAACAGCCATGGTGAGGTGATATTCAAAAACATGAGCAAGTGATTTTTCCAGCACATACCAGTAGTTCTTGAAGAAGTCCAGATGACAACTAGTTAGAATTAGAGTAAACTTTTGAGTTACCCAGGATTTTTTTCAGGACTTGTGTGTTTATATCAGATCCCAGTTATAAATGAGTCTTCTTATTAAATCAGAAGAGGGCAGTGTTGGAGGAATTACTGTAGATAAAGATGATAAATTGTTTGAACTCTTAAGTTTGTATGAACAACTAATATTTCCCCAAATGTTGCCGATCTAACAAGGATTACAAAATAGACCAATAGATTTTTCTTTCCTCTATTTAGTTCTCCTTATAGGTGGTTATACACTTAATTAGTTGTGAACAATAGTTGTAATGTTCCAGAGCTGAACATTGCACTTAAATGAATCGGCTTACACCTTCATATCAAGTGCTCTGTCCAATGAACTAATATCTGTGATGCTCTCTTGCAGTACGTTCCCAAATTTCCACCATCACGGTGGCCACCTTCAATACCACGCTGGCCTCTTTCAATGTGGGCTATGCTGATTTCTTCAGTGAGCACATGCGCAAGCTCTGCAACCAGGTGCCCATACCAGAAATGCCCCATGAGCCCCTGGCATGTGCCAATCTCCCTCGAAGTCTGACCGATTCTTGCATCAACTATAGTTGCCTGGAAGATACAGATCACATAGATGGGACCAGCAACTTTGTCCACAAGAATGGCATGCTGGATCTTTCGGTAATGATCAAGAAAAAGCAATATTCATTTCTGTGCTAGTTATTGTATGATGCAAATCAAAATTCCTTAAGTATGCAGTCTTGTTCCATTTCAGCCCTGCATAAAGATCATTCCACCAATTAATAGTAAAGTAAAATATATAACCAATTCTCAGTGAGAAGAATTTAATACAGCATTATATTGAAACCAGGGTCCTATAGAAAGTTCTAGTTAAAAATGGAAATATTATATGGAAAACATGATCTTCTATAGTATATTGTCACATATTTTATTTTATCCTGTGTTATGCCTTAAAATTTTTGTTGCTCACATTGCACTTGAAGGATGGAGTAGGTTAAAAATGCAAATCAAGAAGTTCATTTTCCCATTTCTCAGTGAGTTTAGAAGTATAAAGTTTAGTGCCACTGAGTGACCAGCAGGCTTAAATCTTGTTGAATTCTTTTCAAATTCCAGAAAACGCTAAAATAAAATTGCTGTTTTAGTGGAAGGGGCTAATTTCTAAACTTCCATGCATGCAGAACCTTTAATTACAGTGGAGGAATACGTTTCAGTGAGAGAGACTTTACATTAATTTATTGGTATCCTTTAGGAACCAGCTACACAATGCTAAGCATTGATCTTTTTCAGGATATTGATAGAGGAGAGGCAAGATACTTAGGATACAGATGAATATCTGTCAAACCTGGAAGATGTTAAGTATGCCAACATATCGTGTGTATGTTGGCATAAAAGGTGTTAGGAACATCTTGTCTTGAATATATTTTCCTTCAGAAGGCAGAGAAAAGCATGAGTATCAACTATATTTGATTTAATCGTAGCCTATTAGGTATACTAAATGGAATAGAAATACAACAATAGGAACATTTGGATGATTATGGAATGCTAGCATTCTTGATTTTAAGAGCACTAATTTGTCAAACAGTTATCAAAACAATGATAACTAGGTTCCTGCAGCAGGAGAAAATAATGGGAACATAAGCCAAAGATGAATAGAACTTCCCCAAAAAGTACAGTCACAAACAGTTCCAGATAGGGAAAAAGTGGAAGGCAGCAGAAGAAACCAAACCAGTTGCACAATCAAGAGGAGAGACATATAAGGTGACAATCATCATGCAAAAATACATAAAAGTAGTCCTGATTTGAAAAGATGATGCAAAAAAACAAAAAATATCACAATAAATCAAGGGTAATGAATTATGCTAAAAAAAAAACCTTTTTCATATAAGTTTCCAATTATACCAGCTATTCAGTGGGATGACAATAAAGATAAAAACTAACAAAGAGAAAGTAGAACAATTGAACCCTATTTGGCATCTTCTTTGAGAACAGGATATGCATCCCATCAGGTCATTATGAAGAGCTTGTTGGAAGAGCAAAATTTCAATTCAAGATTGATGGAGAAACCTAATCAGGGAATGGAAGCTTGTACGAGTTCAAATTTTACAAAGGTTCACATGGAGATTGAAGTACCTGCTATTAGAGCTGTGCAGTGTTTTGGACCCAGCCTCCAAAAAGTACACCAGACTGGATAAGAACACAAACATAGCATCTACATATATTCTGCATCCTTTCCTAGGATGACACCAATTGCAAGTTTATGGAGATCCCAAGAAAAACAGCTGCTTTATACTGTTGCTGACATGTGCTACATTGGGATTCCCATGTATTCTGAAGCTCCTTTTGCATACTGGGTCCAAAGTCCTGGATCCAAAACCATAATGGATATGTTCTTCTTAACTAAAGACAACCATATGGGAATATTTAGATTTAGATGAGGGAATAGAAGGGAAATTTATCACATTTGCAGATGACTACCAAGATGGCAGGAAACATGCCAGAAGATAGGCTCGAGATCCAGATCTTGGCAGACTTAACCATTGGGCCCTATATAACAAAATGAAATTCAATGTAAAGAAAAGCAAGGTTTTACATTTAGGCAAGAAAAACCAAATGTACAAGTACAGATTAAGTGAAACGTGGCTCAACAGCAGTAACTGCGAGAGGGATCTTGGAATCCAAGTAGAGAAACACTTGCATATAAGCCAGCAGTGTGTTGCAGCCACCAAAAAAGCCAATGCAATCCTAGGCTGCATTAACAGAGCTGTAGAATCAAGTTCACATAAAGTATTAGTTCCACTTCATAATGTCTTGATAAGACCACACTTGGAATACTGCATCCAGTTTTGGTGGCCACAATATAAAAAACATGTTGAGACTCTGGAAAGAGTATAGAAAAGAGCAAGAAAGATTATTGGGGTGCTGGAGTCTAAAACATATGGGAAACAATTGCAGGAATTGGGTTTGTCTAGTCTAGTAAAAAGAAGGAATAGGGCTGACATTATAACAATGTTCCAATATTTGAAGGCTGCCACAAAGAAGAATGGTTTAACTTATTTTCCAAAGTGCCAGAAGGCAGGACAAGAAGTAATGAAACTAACCAAGGAGAGAAGCAACCTAGAACTAAGGAGAAATTTCCTGACAATGAGAACACTCAACCAGTGGAACAGTTTGCCTTCAAAAGATGTGGGTGCTCCATCATTGCAGGCTTTTAAGAAGAGACTGGATAGTCAATTATATGAAATGGTATAGGATCTCCTGCTCAACAGGGGCTTGGACTAGAAGACCTCCAAGGTGCTTCTAATGCTGATGTTCTATGAATATGAGAATAGTGTTCAAATAGTTGAAAGGAGGTCTACTATCCCATAATGTATGCTCCAGAATAAAAGTCTCTAAACTCAGAAAGGCAAATACTGTAAGAGTTTGACAATGGAAATACAGATAATCCTTGATTTACAACAGTTCACTTAGTCACTGTTCAAATGAAAAAAGTGACTTATGGCCATTTTTCAGCATCCCCATGGTCATGTGATTTACATTTGGATGCTTGACAACTGACTCACATTTATGATGGATGCAGTGTTCTGGGGTCATGTGATCTTTGCAAACTTCTGACAAGCAAAGTTAATGGGGAAACCAGATTCATTTAGCCACCGTAATACTAATTTAACAACTGCAATGATTTACTTAACAAATGTGACAAGAAAAGTTGTAAAATGGGGCACAACTCACTTAACAAATGTCTCACTTAGCAACATAAATTTTGGGCTCAATTGTGGTTGTAAGTTGAGGACTACCTGTAGTAACTAAGGAAGTGGCTAGATGTGTGCAGATAGCCATCTTTCAGACTAGGGACCTGAACATCTATAATTTTATGAAAGATTATTTTTGCTTTATATTGTTTCAGCAGCAAACTAGTTTTTATCAAAGGCAGATTTGTTTTAGATCAGCTAAAAAAGCACTGCTACCAGAAAATTGATCTGGATCATGCTTAGGGTGGCTTATATAAATGGTGCACACATATTTTCATTCACCTGCTATTATGCTATAATTGAACATGTCCCCTTGTTATAGGATATCACATTTAGACCATTTCTTTAGAGACCTGCAGTCAGGTTTTTGCAAACAATAAGTGAATATAGTGTTGCCCGCAATATCTAACATTTCTTCTTTCAAGGTGGTTCTTAAAGCAGTTTACTTGGTCTTGAATCATGACATCAGCTCCCGAATCTGTGATGTGGCCCTCAATATTGTGGAATGTCTGCTTCAGCTTGGTGTGGTACCCTGTGTGGAGAAGGTCAGAAGGAAAAGTGAGAATAAGGAGAATGAGACCAATGAAAAGAGACCAAGTGAAACTTCCTTTCAACTCAAGGGGGCTTTGACTACCTCAGCGTCTGGATTTGGGACTGCTGCAATAACTGGAACAGGAGATGGCAGTGGAGAAGGTGGAGGAGGAGTTGGAAGTGCTGCTGGAGGAGGAGGAGGAAGTGGTGGAGGAGATGGAGGAGGTGGTGGTGGAGGAGGAGGAGGAGGAGGAGGGGGAGAAGGTGGAGGAAGATCCTTTGAAAAGAATGATAAAAAGGAAGACAAGGTATGTTGAAGCTCTCATAGGGTCATTTTTTACCAATCAATACTATTATGTAAATGCTGAAAAGATTTTTATAGAAACTTCCATATTGATGTGATAGTCCATTGCCTGATTTAACTTCTGATATTGTGTTTTGCAAACTGTTAAAATCCCAGGCTATGAATTAAGGTTTGTTTTTATTTCTCAGTTTGCCTTCAGAGGTTTGACATATGATATCCCTGTTCAGATATTCACATGAATGTGTAAAGATTGAAACTAAGTATGGGATATATGAGCACATAGAAGAATTATCCAAGTCATTTCAGTGTATGTGGCATGCAGTGTAAGATCTTGATCTTATGGTTTAATTTCCTGAAGCAAAAATTAGAAGGATGCTCTTACACTCCCATCTTAACTTGAAAAATTTCTTCTAGTTAAATTTATTTTATTTATTTATTTGTTCAACTTGTATGCTGCCTTTCTCTGAAGACTCAAGGTGGCTTGAGTATTTGTATGCCTTTTGCAATAACAATATTTTATTAGTATTAGCATGAATAAAGTTGTAGAACTTTACTGTGAGTTACAAACAACAAATGCAAAAATACTTGCTTTTGAAAAACTGCATATTATTCTGAGTTCTACCAGATCAGCAATCTTGTAAAATAAAAGTTTCAGCAAGCTGATGCATGAATTGCAACTGGTTGATCAATTGCCCTCAATGTGAAGTCCTCTGTGGATCTTTATTTAAATGGAGTGAAGCATGCAGATTTCACTTATTGGCACCTCACTGGGAAAGATCTAGTGATGTGATGAATAATTAGTACAAATGCCAACTTAATCAGTAATTGCTATGAAGAAGACAAATTCCATGTTGGAATTTATTAGGAAGGGATCTGAAAGCAAAACTGTTTATTTATATTCTTACAAAATCTAACATATAGTCATATGTGGAATACTGTATGCCGTTCAAAGTTCTACAATCCAGAATAACCCAGTTTAACCTCAGGGTGAGAAAAATTAGATCACATGAAATATATGTGCATGTAGCACACTGTTATTCAATTTTCCAAGATGTCATGATGGCCAACAACATAGACAGCTTTAAGGGCGGATAAGAAAACATGGATTAGACCACCAGTAACAATAGTACACCCAGGATCAAAGACAATATACTTTCTAGAGCTGGTTCTTGTAGAAAACAGGTGTACTTTGCAAGGTTACTACGTTTATGTCCTCTTGGTGATCTTTCCAGAGCCATCTGGTTGACATTTGTGAGAAGGAGATGCTGGATCTGGAATACATTTGTATTGGGTATTCTTACTTCTTCTAAGATTGTAAACAATAAATTGAATTGCTTCTCTCTGTGTTTCAAAGTCTTTTGATCAGACCTATCCACATAAAACTGATCTTTTTGTTTACCAGTATTAAAACTGTTTCCTTTAAAGAAAACTTTAAGCCTTAATGGTCTCATGTTATCATTTATAGAAAAAAATTCTGTGTAAGTTTTATTCTGATAATAGATAAACTGGCATATGCCAGTTTGATATTATTTTTCTGATTCTCATCATAAACTGAATAGCTTTTTCTCTGGTCTTTCTGGTTTCTTCAAATGTTGTGCTGCTAAGGATGAAAATACTCCAGTAAGCACTCATAGGCTGGCTCTGACAATGCTGATAAAAATTGTGAAGTCTCTGGGCTGTGCATATGGCTGTGGAGAAGGTCACCGAGGACTCTCTGGAGATCGTCTGAGACATCAGGTATAAAACTGCAGAAGGATGGAAAGTTGTTTCCAAATCTCTTCCCTTTTAAATCCATAATATTTGGATACCATGGATTTTAATAGCTCTCCAGTAGTTAACTGTGCTTAGAGTACAGTGTTTGGTCATATACCAATATACTGGTTGCTATGGTTTTGATAATAGAAAGACAGGTATGGAAAAAATTTCTAGTATTTAAAGCACATCTACATTAGAGAAACCCTTTTAGCTTCAAATCAAGCATGAATGTTTAGAATAAAGTGAATAGTGATAGAGCAAAAGAGAGGCCCTTTAGATCTAGGAGAAAAGGCCAGGCTATCAAGGGGACCTGACACTTCAAAGATAAGTGAGATTCCAGTACACTCTAATCAGAAGAGCTCCTACCATAACAACGAAGTGAAACAAAAAACTTGATTGCATACTGTAGCGTCTAGCAGCCTCGCCTAGTTTCTTATCTTAACCCTTGTTGCTAAGTAGCTGCCTATGCATTTGTCTTCTAAATTGTAGTGCACATGTATTAAATTTTAAATACTTGTATCTTACATATTATCCTGAAACCTTTATTCCTCTGGAAGCTTTGGGTCCAGGTAAGTCATTGTATCAATAAAAATAGGAAGACAATTGTTTAAATCCTCTCTAGTTATTTTGTGAAGTTCATTGGGTACTGTTTTTAATTACTCAGGAACTAACAGGTTGAATTCACTATGGTCCTCTGTAATTATCACCACCAAAACCTAAGCTTGACATTCTTAAAACCTTTCTTAACAGGCTCAGAATTGCCTTACAAAGTTATATAAACTGGATAAGATGCAGTTTCGTCAGACAATGAGAGATTATGTGAATAAAGATTCATTGAACAACGTGGTGGATTTTTTACATGCTTTGCTAGGATTTTGCATGGAACCAGTTACTGACAGTAAGTATAGATTGTCATCCTTAGCATTCAGCTTTCCTGCAGATGTGTGCCTAAATGTATTAATTTATGTGCAATGTGTGTGTTTAACTTTTTGTTTGTTTTAATTGAATGAGACATGGGCACTTTGTCTTCACTCCTTTTTTTATACTGCCAAGTTCATTTTGGAGTACTCCCCCCCCACCCCCATGTGGTTTTCCAAAGTAACAAATCCCTCTTCTGGATGGAGAATTTATTTATTTATTATTTTATTATTAGAATTTCTATACCGCCCTTCTCCTTTCGGACTCAGGGCGGTGAACAGCCAAAATAAAAACATTTATACATAAATACGATTAAAAATAGATTTAAAATAATTAAATTTGGCCCATAGTTTAAAATTTATCAATTTAAAATCCATATCAAAATTTAAAACCAACCATAAAATCATAAAATCAAGAGAGACCGGCTAACTGAAAGAGATGAGTTTTTAGGGCCCGACGAAAGGTCCGGAGGTCGGAGATCACTCGTATCTCTGGGGGTAGATTGTTCCAAAGGGTAGGTGCCACCACAGAGAAGGCTCTCCTCCTGGGGGTCGCCAGCCGGCATTGTCTAGCCGACGGCACCCTGAGGAGGCCCTCTCTGTGGGAGCGAACTGGCCGGTGGGAGGCAATTGGTGGCAGAAGGCGGTCCCGTAAGTACCCCGGCCCTAAGCCATGGAGCGCTTTAAAGGTGGTCACCAACACCTTGAAGCGCACCCGGAAGTCCACCGGAAGCCAATGCAGCTCGCGCAGGAGAGGAGTCACATGGGAGCGCCCAGTCGCTCCCATAATCCCCCGCGCGGCCGCATTCTGCACCAGTTGGAGCCTCCGGGTGCACCCCAAGGGGAGCCCCATGTAGAGAGCATTACAATAGTCCAGACGAGAAGTGACGAGTGCTTGAGTGACTGTGCGTAGGGAGTCCCGATCCAGAAAGGGGCGCAACTGGCGTATCAGGCGAACCTGATAAAAAGCCCCCCTGGCCACGGCCGTCAGATGCCCTTCTAAGGACAGCCGTGCATCCAGGAGGACGCCCAAGTTGCGGGCCCTTTCCGTGGGGGCCAATGATTCACCCCCAATAACCAGCGATGGCGTCAGCTGGCTATACCGGGACGCCGGCAGCCACAGCCACTCGGTCTTGGAAGGGTTGAGTCGGAGCCTGTTTCTCCCCATCCAGACCCGCACGGCCTCCAGGCACTGGGACATCACTTCCAAGGCATCGTTGGGATGGTCTGGGGTGGAGATGTACAGCTGAGTATCATCAGCGTACTGATGGAACTCCACCCCAAAACCACGGATGATCTCACCCAGCGGCTTCACATAAATGTTGAACAGGAGGGGCGAGAGGACCGACCCTTGTGGCACCCCACAAACAAGGCGCCTCGGGGTCGACCGCTGCCCCCCTGTCAACACAGATTGCGACCGGTCGGAGAGATAGGAGGAGAACCACCGCAAAACGGTGTCCCCCACTCCCAGTCCCTCCAGCCGGCGCAACATGATACCATGGTCGATGGTATCAAAAGCCGCTGAGAGGTCTAACAGGACCAGGATAGAGGAATAACCCCTATCCCGAGCCCTCCAGAGATCATCCACCAACGCGACCAATGCCGTTTCCGTGCTGTACCCAGGTCTGAAACCGGACTGGAGCGGATCCAAATAGACAGCTTCATCCAGGTACTGTGGAAGCTGTCGCGCCACCACACTCTCAACAACCTTCGCAATAAAGCGAAGGTTGGAGACTGGACGATAGTTAGCCAAAACAGCCGGATCCAGGGATGGCTTCTTGAGGAGAGGCCTCACCACCGCCTCTTTCAAGGCGGCCGGCAGGACACCCTCACTCAAAGAAGCGTTGATAATTCCCTGGAGCCAGCCTCGTGTAACCTCCCGGGAAGCCAGCACCAACCAGGAGGGACACGGGTCCAATAAACATGTGGTGGCGTTCAGCCGTCCCAAGATCCTGTCCACGTCCTCGGGAGCCACAGGATCGAACTCCTCCCAGATAACATTCTCAAGGCCTGCCTCAGTCATCTCGTCTGAACTAACCCAGTCAGTGGCCAAGTTTTCCCGAATCTGAGTTATTTTATCATCCAGATACTGTACAAAATCCTCAGCTCGGCCCTGCAAGAGGTCCTCCCGCGCTCCCAGATGGAGAAGGGAGCGGGTCACCCT